TTCAACAAAGAGACTAAAAGCTACAAGCCTTTTCTTACATATCAAGAAATTTGGAAGAAAACTTCCTAGCTAACTAACTGGGGGGAGTAAAATCTCTATTCATGTCTCATAGAGGCAGAAATTATTTTTAAAAAACATTAATATCATACTTAAGTAATATTTTGCTGAAGACAATTTAAAATGGCTGCAGCAGTATATCAACAGAGAACTGCCACAAATTATTGCCAAAAAACCCCTGGAACAAGGGATATCATGCTGACAACAGATGGTTCTTTACTGAAATCAAAATACTAGTAATATGTGTACCTCTGTTGTGAGGACTTTTTACCTATGTAAAGGTTATCAACTGCATGGATCATAACAAGTTATGGATAACAATGCGAAGAATGAAAATTTCAAAACACTGTGTTCATGACGAATCTGTACATAGCAAGGTGTTCAAAGGGAAGGTGTGTATCAGAATTGTACCCTTTTATCATAGTTATTGCTTCTGTTTGCTGATCAAATAATCCAAGAAGCTGGAATAGAGCTTCAAAGAAAAGTGTGGCATCAGGATTGGAGGAAGATTCATCAACAGCCTAAGCATTTGTGATGTGTGGATGGCATAGCCCTGCTTGCTCACAGAGGAAAAGACTTAGAAGAACTTATCAACGGTCACAGACCAAACCCGTTAGTGTGGATTACAATCCACGTAAAGAAAACAAAAATCCTCACAACTAGACCTATAGGAAGCATGATGATGGAAAAAGGACTAAGTCTTGTAGGACTTCATTTTTACTTGGAACCACAACCAACATCCATGGAAGGAGCAGAAATTAAACTATGGAATTAAACTATGGACATGGCGATGGCAAATCTGCTTTGAAAATGACTGGCAGGGTTAAAAGCAATTACGTCATCTTGAGGACTAAGGTGTGCTGAACAGAAGCCATGGTAAATTCAATCATTTCATATGCAGGTAAACGCATGGACAATGAATAAGGAGGAAGTGCTGCCTCTGAATCACGATGTTGGTAAAGAATACTGACTATCAGGGAGCTCTGGTGGCCTAGTGTCAAGAAGCTGCACTGCAATCCCAGAGGTGCGCGGTTTGAACCCACCAGATGCTCTGCTGAAGAAGGAGGGGCAATCTCCTCCAGGACCAGTCAAATCCAATTTGATGGTGTGTACACACACACACACACATGCACACATGCGCGCGCGCACACACGTTACTAAAATAAAATAATAAGACTACTGACTGTCAGAAGAACAAACAAATCTTAGAGGAAGTGCAGCTAAAATCCTTAGAAGCAACAATGGCAAGACTTTGTCAGACTTACTTTAGGGCCAATCCCTAGAGAAAGATTTCATGCTTGGTGAGGTAAAGGGTCAGCCAAAAGGCAAACCCTCAACCAGATGGACTGTCACCGAGACTACAGCAATAGGCCATGATACAGCAACAACTGTGAGGACGGTGCAGGACTGGGGAATGTTTCGTCCTGTGGAACACGGGCTGTGAGGCAGAACCAACGTGCAGCTCTTATTAACAGCACACTGTGGGGTCTGTCCTTCCATTCACAGGTACACACAGAGGTATATGCTTCTCCTTGGCTCTTGACACAAGCTTTTCCCTTCAAGTCAGTCAAGAGTTTGTGGCAAAGGTTACAACTTGCACATGGGGATGAAGATGTGTGGTATGAGAGAAGGTCCCAATTACCAAGATGGTTATAATTTACTCAGGGAGAGAAGATGTATCCACATGAAAATTTCCCACTGGAGAAAACTGTTTAAAAGGGATATGTGTTTAGGTATTTTTGTCATGACAGGAGTCCAGAGTGAAAGCTGCATAGTGGAGAGGACCTGGGGAGAGTTTGTACAACAATGAAAGAATTTTTCTTTTACTTTTCCAAAAGGGTAGTGTACTGGGGGGAGGATTGAGGCTCAATGCCAAGAAGACAAAGATTCTCACCACTGCACCAATTGGCAGCATCAGGATGGATGGTGAAGAGATTGAGATTGTACACAGCTTTAGTTTGCTTGGCTCCATAGTCAACAGTCTTGGCACCAGCAGCCAGGAAATTAAAAGGCACATTGCCATGGGAAAGTCTGCTGTTAGGGACCTCTCCAAAGTGCTGAAGAGCAGTGGTGTCTCTCTGGAGACTAAGGTGCGTCTGATACAGGCCATGGTCTTCGCAATCACCTGTTATGCATCAGAGAGTTGGACAATGACCAAGGAGGATAGAAGGAGAATTGATACCTTTGAGCTGTGTTGCTGGAGAAGAGTACTGAGAATACCATGGACTGCTAGGAAAACAAATAGATTTGTCCTGGAGAGGGTTAAACCGGGTGGCTCCTTGGAGGCAAGGATTCTGAGGCTCCGTCTAACTTACTTCGGGCATGTAGTGAGGAGAGACTGGTCCTTGGAGAGGGACATCATGCTTGGGAGGGTGGAGGGACGGCGCAGGAGAGGAAGGCCCTCTATGAGGTGGATTGATTCAGTGACTGGGATAATTGGGATGGGAGTGTCAGAGACAGTGCAATTGGCACAGGACAGAGCGGAGTTTAGGGCTGTTGTACATAGGGTCGCTATGAGTCGCAGGCGACTCGACGGCACATAACAACAACAACAACAACATACAATAAACAGGACCAGCATGGTACCACACAGCCAGAAAACGAAAAGACAAATTACTTTGGAAAAGTCTGCTATCAGAGACCACTCCAGAGTACTGAAGAGCAACGATGTCAGTCGGAGACTAAGGTGCACCTGATATAGCCCATGATCTTTGCAATTACTTGCTATGCATGAGAAAACTGGACAATGACTAGGGATGATAGAAGGCAAATTGATGCCTTTGAGCTGATGCTGGAGAAGAGTACTAAATATACCATGGACTTGTAGGAGAACAAACAAGTTCGTCCTGGAAAGGGTGAAACCAGGCTGTTCCTTAAAGGCAAGGATTCTGAAGCTTCGTCTGACATACTCTGGACATATTGCAAGGATGGACCAGTCCTTGGAGAGGATGTCATGCTTGGGAGGGTGGAGAGACAGCAAAGGAGGGAAAGACCCTTAATGAGATGGATTGATTCAGTCACTGTGATAATGGGGATAGGTGTGTCGTAGACAATAAGACTGGCATGAGACAGAGCAAGGTTTAGGGCTGTTGTGCATAGGGTCACTATGAGTTACAGGTGACTCGACAGCACGTAACAACAACAACCAATAAATAAGAGAATTGCTTTTTAGCATACAAAAAAAAGCAGTGGGCAGTAGTAAGGAAGATAAGGTTAGATCTTTGTTGGACACACAGATGTTACACAGATTTAGGAAATGAAATTAGGGAAAGGAAAACAGTTTTGTAACTACCTCAGCAACGGCAAAAAAAGTGAAATTTTCTGGACTTCCTCAAACCTAGAGGTGTGTCATAAACCCAGCCACTGGACTTGGTTCCAGGTTTTAGCTCCAACACTTTGACAATCATTCTTCTCTTACCCTAGTTTTCTACCTAATAAAGAGATATTAACTAAATAATGATTCATATTCCTTTAATGAAGACTTCCGGTAACCTTCTTTTTAATAACTATATCTAGGTCCCTCGTCGCAGCTTCTGACCTCCAGGCCCCTCCTGACTAAGCTCCTAATTAAATGACAATATTTTAATTCCTTTTTAAAAAGTTTAAACTTTACAGTGCACATTATCAGATTATTCATCTCTTTGACTTTTTTTGTATTTCTACACTGACATCTTTATGGTAAATGGGTTGAGCCAGAAAAATTCTTATTTATATTGCTAAAATTGAGCACTAAACAAGGTCCAATTTTTATATTAGCTAATCCTACTAACTAATCTTATCCAGATGAATACAGTATATTAATCAGCATCCTTGCAAGAAGTTTTGGCTTAGCTGTGATTCACAATGATGACGAGATAACAACAAAAAAATTATGTAGTCATTGCTTTTAGTGGCTTAAAATTGGCTTTGCTGTGGAGCAACTAAAAGTGTGTGGACAGATTTAATTTCTTTTTTTTATGATAATCCAGTGACAACACATAAGTATAACCTTGGTATAAAAAACCTACATAAATATTCTTTCATCTGGTAAATCTTATTAACCCACAGTGTTTGAGAAGAAAAGATAAAGAGCAGAAGACCTCATAAAAATGGATTGTAATCTTTAACAATATAACACTATTTCTATAATTTTTTTCACGTTTGAAACATTCTTGTTTGGACATCTGAATGTGGGGACAACTGTAGTAATGAATTAAAATATAATCCAGAAAAATGCTAACTAATACATGGTCTTTTCATTTCTAAATACATTTTAATACATTTCAGTAAAGAGATAAGAGAGATTTAGAACAGAAATGGGAGATGATGAACAAACTCGGGCTTTCAGGAAGCTTTGCCATAAGGTAAGCATTAGAAGCAAAAAGAAGTCAAAGTATTGAGAAGTATACTGGGGAAGTTTTGCAGATATTATTCATGCTTGTATCTGGCTCCATTACACAGTTTAAAACTTGGCCAATTTTAAAAAGTATTTGTTAAACAGTTCCTGCATGTGGCATATGTTTCTAGGATACTTCTGACATTGATATGAAAGACTGTAAAACATTTAGAAATTAAAATGTTACTCTCCAACAAAAAGCAATGCTGGAAGTTCCAAGTTCCTTCTGAATTCGTAAGATGGGAAAACATTTGCAAAATAGTACCTTTTGGTTTTAGAATATTCAAATAATACACTTTAAGAACCAAAAAAGTGTAGCTGTTCAAGGCAAGAATGAGACGAGTCTAAATAAAACAAGGTCTTAAAACTTAAGGAATCATTACTATTTATTTGCATTTACTCCACAGTTAATCAACTGTGGTATCGCATCAGCCTGAAGAGTCATTTTTATCCCCCGAGATGATTACAAGACTACTGCAGTGTTCATCCTGCGAGAAAGACACAAATATGAAGCAGCATGAACCCTTGTTCTCAAGTGGAGTGTATGCAAGGGCTCATTTGCAATGTATTAATTTAGGAACTCGGTGGAGAGGCTCCGACTATATCTAGCTGATCTAAACTTGAGCTCATGATAACACTGCACAAAGCTGTGGTAGATGAAAGTGATGGGTAATGCCAACAGAACAATTCCACTGACAACACAAACTCCTCCAAGAATTCTCCCAGGCACTGTGATAGGATACATATCTCCATAGCCAACTGTAGTCATAGAGATAATCACCCACCAGCAGGCAGCGGGGATGCTGGCGAAGTCCTTGTTGGATGTTTCCAGATCCAACCCATGTTCGAGAAGCTGAGAAAGTGCACTGAAGATTGCCATGGCAACACAAATGAACACAAGTAACATAACCATCTCCCGGTAGCATCTTTTGAGAGTCAAACCAAGTGTCTGAAGACCAATGAAGTGACGGGCAAGCTTAATCACCCAAAAAATCCTCATCATTCTAAGCACCCTCAAGGTGACTCCAGCCCTCTGGAGTTGAGAGTTCTCACCCGTGAACACGGTCATTAACACGGAGATGTAATACGGCGTGATTGCCAATAAATCAATGATGTTCAGTGGTCTCTTGACAAACTCACACTTGTTTTTGGAGACAATGAACCTCACGATGCACTCTGCGGTGAACCAGCCTATGCAGATCGCCTCAATGATCCTGTCGAGAGAACAAAGGGAGAGCTCATCACTTGACGTTCAAGCGTTTCAACAGCTCTTAGCTGTCTTCACACAGTACTACACTGATACACTAATTCTGTTACTTAAAAAATAATACATACAAAACAGACAGCATTAACTACACATCAGACTCACCAGGACACAACAGAACAATACAGATTATCCTTCAAACGAAAGTTAAGCTTGGCAGAGTTCTCATTTGTGTGTCACATGAAATAAATACCATTGCAGTTAATTTTTTTTTCCTTTTCACAAGTGGGAGGGATCTCCTATTTGCCAGTTTGAAATTCACTTGAACTCAGCTAGCCACTATATGGAAATGCACTTACCCTGAGGCCAATGAGGAGGGAGGCCAGGGCTTTGCTTCTACAGAAAGTGGACTTACCTCAATTTTGTTGTTGTTGTTTATTATCATTTGAGTTAATGTTTACACAGCATATTTATATTGCAGTCAACCATTAATTTATACGTTATGTTTTAACATTGACTGCAATACCCGTCTTGTACCATCACTCTCCCAGTGCCCCTCCAGGGTCCCTGCCTCCATTCTCACTAACGCGGTCCTTGTCCCATGTGGTTGCATGTTCTGTGCTGGGCATCTCCTCGGGGCTACTGTGCACATTACAGCTCTGTCTACTGGCTGGCTGGCAACAGTGCCACAGCTCTGAGTGCAATTATAAGGCCAAAGCCTGGCAAAGGGCAGAGCCTCGGAGGCCAGTCTCCATCAGGTCTGTATGCCTGGCTGCTCCTGGGGTTCTGAGTTTTGGTCTGTGTTTCTTTCCCATTGTTTTCAGGATTTTTTGTCATCTCTGTTTAGAGTGGTAGCCAGGCACCACACAGTTCATTTGTTCTTGGAGTTGTGGCATCTGAGAATACTGGTGGAAGTCCACTGATGCTGTGGACTAATTCTTTCCATGTGTCTTTGATCTTCTTCACTCCTCCTTGCTCCAAAGAGACACCAATGGTTGCACGCTAGATGGCTGTATACCCAACTTTTTGATGTTTTATTTCTTGGCAAATTAGAGCAAACTCAAGATCAGTTCCAAGAATGTTACTCTCCCATTTCTCCAGTGGGTCTGAGTGGGAGCCACCATAGCTGGGCCAGTACTTGGCAGCACTGTCAGGGACTCTCATCAGGCCTATAATAGGTCATGACCACCCTGACTGGGAATGTCATGAAGGAAAAACACCGAGAACTCCACTAGGATGAAACCAAACTCACCTCCTTTGAGGTGACTGACTCAGCACCCGAGCTGTGCCGGGTCCAGCTGTGACCCACAGGATCGTCAAGGTTGGCCTGTAGCAGCAGACACCGGGCCTTTCTTCCAAGGTGCCTCTGGGTGAGTTCAAGTCAACCACTTGTACGGCCTGTGACTTCTACCAGGGCAGCCACTAAGATTTCCTCAAAGACTACAACTATTTTGTGTGATCACACCATGAATTATACAGATAACCAACTTATAACCAAATACTGCCATGTGACACCCCACACCCATGCTTGGTAACATTAATGTACAGCAGAATGATTGTCATGGGCTAATTAGAGGGGAAGGAACTCTGGTGGTGCAGTTATTGAAGCATTTGGCAAAAAAAGATCAGTGCTCTCTAACAGCCAGTCATTCCATAGGAGAAAGAGGAGGAAACATGCTTCCCTAAAGATTCCAGCTTCAGAAACCCTCCCAGGCAGTTCTACTCTGGCCTTCTGGGTCACCAGGAGTCAGAATTCTACTCGATGTCAAAGGTCTGGTTATCAGACAAAGGAGCCCAGGAGGCCCATCAGTCAAACACTCAGCTTCTAACTGATACTGATTCTGGCTCTGCAGAGAGACCTGACAAAAACTTCTTGCCGAAGAGCTTACCGCCGGCTAATCCTAGGGAACCAAACAAGCAGAGAACTGCCTTAGCTGTATTTCAGAGGATTTGGTATGTTGTATATTCATTATCATTTGAAGAACTGTTTTATTTCATTCTTTATTTCTTCTGTAACTCAACTGTGTTCTTATAACAGGGTGTTATTTAGCCTCCACGGGGCTGATTTATAAGCTTTATTTTCTTGTCATTAATTTCTAGTTTTCTGTTATTATTGTCTGAGAAGAGATTTTGTATTATTTCAATATTTTTTCATTTGTTGAGGTTTGCTCTTTGCCCTAATATATAGACACGTTTTGCTAAATGCACCATGTGTACTTGAGAAAAACGTGAATTGAGTTTTTAGTTGCATGTAATACACAGAATTTGGAAGCAGGAGTGGCATCCACTTCCTAAATAACACGCCTCCGGAAACTCTATGAACTTTGATAAATGTCGATAGTTGTTGAGGTGCTTCAGGCCTTTTGTTCATAGGGTCACTATGAGCCGTGCTGGACTTGAAGGCAATCAACAACAATAACAAAAATCCTAGGGAAAGTTCTACTGTGACTGGGTCACTAACGGATGCAAAGTGCCCTGGTAGTGTAGCAGGTTAGGTGTTGGGGTGTTAATCAAAAGAAAAGCACCTGGAACCCACCAGCAACTCTGAAGGGGAAGGAAGAGGCAATCTCCTCTCATTAAGATTTACAGCTTTAGAAACCCAATGAAGGATTCCCATGGTTGAAACAACTCAATGGCATTGGTTTTGGGCTTTATTGGCTGTGATACTGGCTTAGCAGAGCAATTTATTATGGATACATCCTCAGAGCTGTATCCTGATGGGGATACAGCTTTGGAAGTGCCCAGTGTTTATGCCAAAAGTTTTTTGGTTTTTTTTGGGGGGGGGGGATATGGACAAAAAACAACTATCTTATCAAATGATTTCATGCATTCCAAAGGAAGATAATCTAAGAGAACACTGGAATTACTAAGTAATATTAATATCAAACACAAGTAAAATCTAGAAGCTGAAGACAACTCACTAATGGGTCAGCACCAACTCAACCTCAACAACAAAGACATGCCCTCAAATGGAACTGCAAGAAGCACTCAGGAGTGCTTAACAGTAAAGATTTTCTTACATTGTTGTTGTTATGTGCCTTCGAGTTGACTATGACCCATAGTGACCCTATGAACAATGGCTCTGAAACTAGCCCTAACCTGAGCAAACCTCACCATCTCTGACACACCTGGACCCCACCGCTACCATTACCATGTCAATTCATCTCATCCAGGGTCTTTCCCTTCAGTGCTGTCCCTCTATCTTCCCAAGCATGATGTCCTTCTCCTAAAACTGGGCCCTCCTGGCCACATGCCCAAAGTATGTGAGACAGAGCTTCAAAACCTTTGCCTCAAAGGAGTAAATTGCTTTGACCCTCTCAGGACAGACCTGTTTGTTCTCTTGGTAGTCCATGGTATGTTTAAATACTCTCCTCCAGCACCACAACTCAAAGGCATCAACTCTTCTTCTGTCATCCTTATTCACTTATCCAGGTTTCAGATGCAGAGCAAGACATTGAGAAGACCATGACCTGGAACAGGAGTACCTTAGTCTCCACACGGACAGTGTTTGCTCTCCAGCTAAAATGCTGCTGTCTTTTCCAGCCAGAGGTGAAGACCCCAGATGAACACTAGACTGGATACCATATGGCCCTGTGTCCACCCTGAAGGACAATCCTCATCTGTAAAATGGCAGAGTGGAGTTCATCTGTGAGGCTCTCCCTGCTCTCAAATTCTAAAATCCTGCTAAATTAAGACAGTAAAATCTTTAATTGTGCCAAAAATATCAGAACATTTTCTAATTATTTCCATCAGCAGCCAAAATTGTTCAGATTAAACAGAAGGGAATCCAAATGGTGTGGAATAATCCCTCAGTAAGGGCATTAAGGCCCTCTAGGTCCTTCCTGCCCCCCAACCCGAGACAGATGTCCTTTATCCAGAATTTTACCATGAAGGGATGAATCAGTGAGAAATCAAGCATCAATCTTTTACCTAGGATTATGCCAAGATAGTGCAACAATAAACACCACTGAGCCTGCCAAAATTCTCTACCTTTCTAAATGGTACCCGTGCCAATGCCACACAGACAATTGCTGGAAAACGGTCCTGTTACAATGCACACTGTGGCTAATAGCTCCGTCATGTCTATGTAAAAAATCTGAGCAGTGGAGAGGAAGAACTAAAGAAAATTCTGAGGGCTAGTATTTGCCCCTGAATCCTGATCTGAAATGGTTTGAGATTTTAACATACAGAAGTTGAAGAATTCACAGCTAATGGAAAGAGCACTTACAGAAACACTGCGGCAGTCTGCGTGGTGCTGACCACTCACACACATCTTCTCATTTCATTATGGAGTCATTTCTCACTCAGAGGAACCCTCCATCGGGTTTCTGAGGTGGAAAGTTTTACAGGAAACTACCCGTCTTTACCCCTCAGAGCTGCTGGTGGATTTGAACCTTCAAATGGGCAACTTTTTAGTTAGCAGTGCAATCCACCCTGCACTACAACAGTTTCCCTAGAAACTGAGGCTGGGAGATTGAGCATCTTTTCCAGCATCAGATAACTAAGAAATCAGTGGCACAGGTAATGAAAACTCAGATCTATCTGGCTTTAAAATAGTAAGAAACATCTGAAAAGGGCAATACTTTCTATAACAATGCTAACATCAGAAAGGAAAAATATCAGGGTACCTCCAAGCATAACATCATGAAACTTTTGTTATCAGTCATCTATACTTTGTACTTGGCTGGGTCGCAAGTGATAAAGTGAAAATGTGTAAATGTCACAGAACTAGAGGACCTCAACAAGTGCCTGCCATCATCAGTCATCAAGCACTCTGGCTGAGCCCTCATGAGAGAAGATACTTTTGGAAATGACCCGGAGGATTGCAAACTATCAGCTGAACCAAAAACGTTCAGTCAAGTCAATGTCGACTTTTCACAATTCTATCAGACTGAGCAGAACTGCCACACAGGTTTCCAAGGTTTCACGAGAATATACCTTTTACTACATAGCCATTGGTGGGGTTGAATAACCAAACTATGGCTTATCGGTCGAGTGCTTAATCACAGT